CCTTGAGAAAGATCCCACAAAAATAGGCCATTTTCTGAAGAGTCTGAGAGAAGCCTAGGTAGTCATCCAGTCAATGTAAGTATTAATTAACCCTTATTAGAAAAAGGGGGAGTAAAAGTGGATCGACAGATCCACTGAATTTGAACCACATAATTTTGTTGATCTGTGGGGACAAGTTAAATCTTTGTTAGGAAGAGGTCCTTATTAAGTTCTGAGGAATTAATTGGTTATTTTATCATTCATTCCATATCAATATTATTATAATGCCAACAATTTTAGAAATAATTATCTTTCTTTTGGAATTTGCAGAGATAACAGGAAGAGGTGATATTTACTGTGCATTTATTACATGCTTAGTATGCATTTTCTCATTTAATCTGAATAATAACTTTATGATGACAATGCAATTATTATCTTCATTGTACAGCTTATGAAACAAGGCTAAGAGGTTGCTTTCTTTATTTGTGTCAAGAATTAATGACTAGCATGTCCCAGACACAGTTTTGAGTACCGAGACCAAAGGCTCAAATCTCCCCACTCTATAACATCTTTTGGAAAACACATTCCTTTATACCCTGTAGTCTTTGCTAAGAGATAAAAGAAGCCTGTAAGATATGAAATTAAAGCTGGATTTGTGCTCTCATGGTAGCAAGAATAAGAGGTGTAGGAGTTTGCAGAAGCCAGACTTTCTATACCTGGTCATGACATACTATTTGAAGAAACTGATCAGTGCACTGGCTATATCATTGTTGGAGGGTGACTTATCCACTCTTGCTTCTCAGATAGAAATATGAACAGGAGAGGAGCTCAAGGTGTCCCTGATATCTGGGACACCCTCTCAGGTGGTCCTAGCAGCTCAGTCCCTCGTGAGTCCCTCCTGCATAGGCTTCTCTCCAAGGTCTGCTTGGAATTGGAGGCAATTAGTTTACTTTGATTCTTTCCTCAACCAGGAGCTTAGGGACTGTTCCTGAGTCCTCTCTGTGGTTGGTAAAATGGTATCATCCTCCTGCCTATTGCTCTGTAGCTCAAGAAAAGACCCAGAAAGCTCAGTAAATCCTGGTCTCACAAAGGCTCATCTGTTACTTTTTTGTTTCTGGTGTCCTCAACAGAAGCTGAGGACTCAGGAAACTGAACTAGCAGAGGTCTGAGCTCACCAAGAACTGGCAGAGGTCAGAATGAACTGGGAATTCTAAACAAGAAAGGTGTGTTTCTATGTCTTGAAGTCTGCATATATATTCCACATATATTTTAGGTATATCCTGTGTGGTGTTTCTTTACTCATGTATGTAGGTATATATGTATCTTTTCTTTGTGAGTTTTTTTTGTGTGTAATACATATTTGACTCCCAGTCTGAATATTCTCCTCTTAAACCCAGAATATACAACTGCAAATAGTCGCATTAAGCAAAAGTATGCCTTGGTTATGTGTATTTTGGGATCTCCTAATCAGTCTCTTTGATCTCAAATATTTACCCCATTCTCCTATAATTCTCACCTTTTCATCATAGTTAAGTACATGATATTGCAGAATCTGACGTTTTCTGAAGTTACTCATGATCAGCAATAGGAAAGAGGTCTTGAAATCTCTACTCAGTGATGTGGTTATATATTATCTTGCCTTTTATGAATTATATTTGTGTGCAATTACATATGCTTGAGAGAGTGGTGTATGTATGCATTGTATGTTATTAGTAGGTAATGTTTATGTGCTAGTGCCTGTGAGTGAAATGGGCTCAAGTGACTCTCTGACTACTTTCTCCTATGTTTGGTATAGGTCAGTGGCGCTGGAACCTCATTCTGCAATGAGGGTGTATGTCTGACCATGTGTGTTGTTTGTTGCCTGACTGGGAAGAAGCATGTGTATGCAATTGGTATGTTTTTGGTATGACTTTTGTGTGATGTATTTGACCTTGTGTTTTTGTTGTTTAGCACGTATGTTTCATTGTGTGAACCTATAGAGTATGAGCTTATATATCTTATGTGTGATTTTTATGTGGTGCTGGTTGTTTTATGCTTGTGTTGAGACTATACAAGTGTCTGTGTGAGGTTGTATGGGTTACTATACAAATGCCTGTGTGTGGTTATATGTGTTGTATATCAACTCTTGTGCATTACTTGTGAGTTTTGTTTTTATGACCTTGTGGGTAACTGAACCACAGTTACTGTCCTTTCTTTAGGATCATGTAAGTCGCAGGTAGTAAGAAACCACAAATCTGCTATTTAAGTGTGTGTGTGTGTGTGTGTGTGTGTGTGTGTGTGTGTGTGTGTGTGTACGCGCGCCTGTGTTTCATGTTTGTGTCTTAGGGTCTTCTGGTTAGTCTCTATGAATCCAAATGTTTCCTTAACTGTCTTTCAATAGAGGCCGTATTTGTGTATTGGACAGTTTCAGGTGCATTTTTACCATTGAGAAGCCCTTATATAGTGAATAAGAGTTCAGTGTCTAGTGAGTCATACTTGGGCCCAATCCTTAGTCTAGCCATGTGTATTCTTATGACCTTGGGAAGTAACTTTAGCTCTCTGAGATACAGATTCCTCACTACTAAAAGAAATGTAACTCTTCTTACTTTATTGTTACTTTATAATGATATTTAGAGGAATAAATGAGACAATGCAAACACATTATTCGGCACCATGCTTGCCACATAATTGATGCTCAGTAAAAAGGGGGTATTTTTTACTCCCTTTCCCCAAATTCAATGTTTTTGTCGTGCAGGTTTCATATTTCACCACTGTCTGGGGAAGCATAGGTAGAAGTCAGAGAAAACTGGTCCATCCAGAGGCTTCTCTTATATCTCAAGGTCATGGCCTGGCATTCTTCCCATGGCTTATGGGCCCAGCTGTCTCCTTCATGCAAGGTCCTACCTTAATCAAAGTTTCTGATTGATTCTAACCCTCTGCTTTTCTTCTGGTTTCCTTGTGAGCACTTACACAGCATATGTCACTGAGCAACCAAGCCTCTTGCATAAAAGTCCAGTCATTGTCCTCCTTGGTGGTCATGAGCCTAGATACTCCTGAAAAGTATAAGGTTTTTGAGGAGAATTTGCTGTGTAGTTAGGTGAGAAGGTCAGTCTCCATTCCTTATTCAAGGATAGTGTATGGTAATCCTAACGTCTAACCCAGCTTCCAAGCTGGGGAAATACTGAATCTAGAATTCACTGTCAGACAGCTGAGTGACTTTCAGTCAGCCACTTGTCTCTTTGGACTGGGATTTTTTATCACATCTATGACACAAAACACATAATATTTGCCTCGTGTGCCATACAGCTTCTAAATTTGTATTTATTGCTTTGAGAGAAGCTAAAGATGTGAAAGTCTTTTGTAAATTTTTTGTTGTATAAATGTGAGTGCCAACTTTTTCTAAGTGGGAGCTAAGGAGATTTTGGACAAAGGTAGTAAACATAACATAGCTTCTTTATATAGTCTAACTAATGAGAGTTATGATTTTATTCAGAGTAGTTAGAAGTATGGGTTCTGGTCAGATAGCCATATGTCATGATTCCATCTGTTGCACTTAATTGCACATTTAAATAATGTATTATTTTGTTTGCTTATTGTTAAAAAGGGTATAATAATACCCATTTACTAGGTGTATGCTGAGGATTTAATTAGAAAGTGCATGCAAAAAACTTGGAATAGCGCCTAGCTCTATTATTAACATTGGATTGGAAACCTGGACTGGACACCTTGCTGACAGGGAATTTTAAATGACTCAGAACAGGTAGGACTCAGTCAATTACACTGTAAGCTTATGACAAAACTTTGGGAACTCTGTTCCAAATTATGGAGTTTTACATTCTTTTTAGAGGAAATAACTCATAAACACAACCTCATTCTCTATTTTTATGTATTCAACTTTTTTTTGAGTTGGAGTCTCACTCTGTTGCCAAGGTTGGAGTGCAGTGGCATGCTCATGGCCACCACAGCCTCAACCTGCTGGACTCAGGCGATCCTTCCATCTCAGCTTTCTAAGTAACTGGAACTACAGGCGCATGCTACCATGCCCGGCTAATTTTTTTGATTTGTTGTAGAGATGAGGTCTCGCCAAGTTGCC